TGAGCCACAAATTAATGAATATTCATGAGCACAGAAACTGCTACGTCATGAATAAATTAGCATAATTTTAAAAAATTTGCATAAAGTGTAGGTACTCCTTCTGGAGCTCTGCCAATAAAATTGTTAAAACCACCGAGGTTTCGTTATTGAGATTTCTCTGGATGTTGCAACATTAGAACAACTGACTACCTACTTTGCTTCAAAAAGTTGAGTACCTGCAGACTTTTGTCTACAGTCTAGACGTATTACCGGTTACATTATTTCTATATGGAATGACGTCATCCTTTTACGGTAGGACCATGATATACGGGCCATCTTTTATACATGCCGGTATATAAATTTGACCCAGGAATAAAAATATAAGTCAATGTAGTCAGAGCAGAGAACCTATGTAACCCTGCTATTAATGTTCTCAAAAATGGAAATATTGCTACTGCTCGAAAAAATTGATAATATGATTATCTAATTGTTCAAAAAAGTCTAGTTTACAATGTTTAGAGTTGAATGACGAACTGGATTTGTGAGCGCACCGCACCGGCTGCGTTTCCAATCACTCGCTTACAATAACAATTCCAATTCCCGCAAAGGTTCGTGGAGAAAGGAAAACAAAATATACAGATCAACTGATACAGATGAACACCAATTTGTATCTGTATGTATATTTATCAATCTGATCCAAATATTCGTCGTGGTCTTACCTTTTTCAGCAGTAAACTTGTTTCACGTCGACAACACATAAACCGGAAGTACATGTGCAAGAAAATGTGTTTGACCTTATATCATCCTCGTACTCAATGTCATAAAAATACGTCGTGAAATTGATTGAAACAAAATCTTTATCTCAGAAATTGCGATTTTAAAATATTTTATTTTATATTTTTATTATATTGGTATTTAAAAAATCGTTATTAATGTCTATTGTGTCAATTTAAGGATTATTATTATTAGTTGCTGTGATCGAGCCTTTTAGGTCACGGGTCAAAGTTTACTGGATCGTGTTCTCAAAAAATTGTTGAGACTGCACGTTTTTGGAAAACAAATGTGAGTATACAGATTATTTGAGATTTGTTTTATGATATTTATATTTTCTATATCAGAGGTTATTTGGTGATCGCTTAAAACTCGTCATACACCACTACGTCAAGAATCAACAAGAACTACCGGAGGCGGTAGTCTCACTTGACGACTTTAGCTGTGGAATCATAGCCCTATGTTGCCGACCGCATTATTTACGTGACTGACTCTGGCCGGCCCATAGGGCTATGGGGCCTTGTGCGACTGAATACCAGTTAAAATCCACATGCCAAATTTGGTCGTCGT